AAAAAAAAAAAAAAAAAAAAACACATCTTAGTAAAACCAATACCTTCTCAGCTTCGCATCGAAGCTAAAAAACCTAGCACAGTGGTCTGGTTGCACTGTGGGGACGTGGCATAGATTAGTCCAGTATAGATTTAATCTGACAGTGATTAAAATCACTATCATAAGAAACGCTTCGATGCAAATCTGTAGATAGTGTTTAATTTTAAGAAATTGGTGGATAATTACAAAAGCAACATCAGCTTATATTTCCTTAATTATATTCAGATTAGTAATTCTTAGATTCTAAAATTTAAAAAATAATTTTTATAATTAATTGTTTTCAAATTATTATTAATTTTGATTTTTAATATGTTAAAAATAATCATTTTTAACCTACATATTTTTGTGAAAATTTATAATAATAAAAAAAAATGAATTTATTGCCAAACTTTTAGCTCAACTTGCAAGTTTGAAATTGACATCATTAAATAGTAAAAAATGGTATTGTTAAGATTAATGTGATGTCTACAAATTTTATAATTATTATTTACGGTAAATTTACCAGAAAAGCTCGATTTTTTTTGCATTTTTATTGTAACAGATTAACTTTTGGTGTTTAAAAGGATTTTACAATTGAAATATGCAGAACTGAATTAATTTTAATGATTTTTATTTTATCTAAAAAAACCAATAAAAAAAAGTTGTTAAAAAGATCTACTCAATTGATTGTATTATAAAATTTGATTATAATTGTAAAAATCTATTGTTAAATTGAGGTGAAACTAAAAATCATTTTTCTTTAGATTTATGATTTATATAATTTCAAAAAAGTTTGGAATATTATAGTCTAGTAGTAGTACACACAAATAAAGTAAAACATTTATTAAATTACAAAGTAAAATTATTTATTTTTTTAGTTGAATACTTGTATCAAATAAAATCTAATTCTAATAAATACTTTAAAAATATTAGAAATGAATGATTATAATAGTTTGTAGGATGAAGCTGGTTATGCTACTTTTTATTTAATTAAGGTATTTGTTTTCAATTTTTGAGGATAATACGCATTGTAATCATTTGACATATCGTTGAAAAAAGTAGGTTAATTGAGGGTTGGAAAAATAAATCGCAACCACAAAAAGAAACACATAGTAAAATAATGTTATCATGATTAAGAAATTTTTTTTCATGAGGGGGGCTACAGTGATGGGACTCTTCATGTTTATTGAAATTAATGAATACAAATGACATAAAAATCAAATGATTTGAAAATTTTAACTTAAAAAAAATGCAATATATTAATTGCCACAGGCGGATTCGAACCTGGTACCCTAACCGTGAAAGACACAAGTGTTACTGCTTCGGTAACTGTTCGTCGCTTTCATCGAATTATAAAATTGGCAATTTAAGCTAATTCAAATTTAAAAATTACTTTTCGATTCTAAAAAAGCAAAACAAATTTAAATAAGTTTAACTTCTTATGTTTTATGAACTTTATTCTATGTCAATTAAATTATAATATAATCATGAAAGTCAGTGTATTTCCTTTGTAAGATATTTTAAAATAAAAATAAAAAACAAAACACAGATTTTTAACACAAAACTAGCATATTTTTGAATATGATAGCCATTTTAAAGTATATATATACATAAGCTTTAATTTGAAATTAAATAAAAGTGTCAATATTTTCAATGAACATTTACAAAAATTATATTAAAAAAAGCTCAACTTGTGTGCAAAAATTGTTTTAACCACAACCTTTTTAAAATATCAATAAAACACAACAAATTATAATCTTAATTTTTTTAGCTGTTCATAGGTTTTATGAACATATGCACGGATTTAAGAAATAGTTATATTGTTTAGGTTTTCTTTCAAAAAATATAAAAATTTATGAAGTTTCTCTACTTATAAATTATAACTATTATCCACATTATTTGATTAAGAAGAATATGACTCATACCAACTGTACTAAGTCAAGAAAAATAAAAATAAGAACGTTTGATGCTGCCTTTTTAAGTTGTCTTAATGTTAGTTGTTCAAATGTTTTGAGATGGAATCAGACAAATACGCGCAATGTTGAAGGGAAGAGCAAGTGACGTTATGTATACGATAAGTTATCTCTGTGGCTCTCAAGGGATTTGCGTATACACCGGTGATACGAGGGACAAGGTATTCCGTTACGGTAGTAAAAACACTTTTGCCCCTCTACCCCCAGGGGTTCCTTGTTAAGTCTAGGGGATACGAAACTTTTGTGAAACTATACCATAATAATAGATCCTATGGCGGGAATGATTCGTTGAAATTCGGACTTTTAGTAAAAAAAAACTATTCGATATAGCATCAGGCTGTTAAACGGTCTCATAATTTAGAAACATAAAATATACTTTTATTACTTAATATTTTACTGTTTGTTAAACTTGGGATTTTCAATATTTTTTTAAGGTATCATTGAAAACATCAATAATAAAATAATTTTTTCCATTATACAGTTGATAAATAAACAAAATAATCTATAAAGTAATAAATCATAATCTTCTTAATGAAGATTATTTTTTTTCGAAAAGTTTCACTTTGGTGTCTTATAGTTTCTCTATAATATTATGTTAAAAAAAAAAATAAATAAATAACTTATTTAATTTATGTATTTGTATAATCCACTTAATAGTTGGTATTCGAGAATTTATTTCAGCCACATAATATAAATTCATAAAAATATTGGTATTTATAATGAAAATCAGAATAAGAATGTTTAATACTTAAACAGTTTTCTAACGAATAGTTTTTAATTTTGTTTTAGAATTTAATTTTAATGCGTTTCAAAATTATGCATTTTAAAATCTAATAAATACTATAAAATAACACTGTAATGGTACAGTTAGATGAAATGTTGTAAATGTACTATTATTGTATTATTACTCGTATTATTGTATAATATGCGGCAACATCGTTTGGGACTTTTGCGTTCGCATTATGTGTGGCGGCGCTGGAAAAATGTTGTCTAACAAAGTGATAAAATAATTGGTTGGTTATGTTTTTAAAGAAATGAAATACGTTATGATATTTGTTTATTAAAAAATGAACACATTCTTTTTCTTTTTCTCTCTAATAAACTAACAAGTAACAATAAGATTTTTCATGATGAATTAAATGGAAATATCAACAAACTATGTTTGAGAGAACAGCGAATAAATACGCATAAATATCAGTTATATGTGAATTCCTACATCAATGAACACTGTATCACCAATACAACTGAAATTAAGGTTAGAAATATAACGACCACTAATCGTACACATACTAAATAGTACATAGAAATGAATATATTTATTTTTGTATATATTAATATTTATATAAATTTTAAATTGTTGTTTAATACAGAAACGAATAAATACTTCTAATGTTAACGAATTGTAATCAAAACCAATTTTTAATTTGTAAAATAAATTAAATACCATTTCAACACTATACAAATATGATAATGAAGTGATCTACCTTTTGGATATCTTCAACTTATAGTAAAAAAAAACGACATTTTAATGAAATTATTTACTTTTTAAAATCAATAATTTAGAACAATTTGTTATAAAATAAAACAATTTATTCTTAATTTTTTTTTAATATTATTTATTTTATATAAACTTGAGAAGTAATAAAAATTGACTGTCAGTTAATTTGACTTAAAAAATATTTTATGACCATCAAGAAAACAAGTTATAAATGGAATATTTTGTATTATAAAGTCTATTGATCCAATTCAGACTTAAAAAAAAGTATCTGTGGAAATATGGTAAAAAGAACCCATTCTAACACCATTTCATGTTAAAAAAGTGAATACACCGGAGAAATATATAAATTTGTCACTTTCAAGTAAAAATATTCATTACGCTTTAAATGAAGTAACACGCTATATGAATAAAAGAACAAAAAAAAAAAATAATGTTTTACTACTCATATTTTATGGCTATAATATACTAGTTTTTAGTGGTGCTCTAGTTAGTTCTTAATTTTATGACAAGTAAAAAATTTATTGTGAGGTAAAAACCCTCACCGTTCACACTCTTTCTGTGTGGAACTGTAAAAGATAATATGCATTTCTTCTGGGACTCACAATTATTTAATAGGGTAGATCATATACCTTATGTTATTTTTACAAAAAAAGAAACATTGCATGGTAAATACTGAAAATGGTACATATAGGATTCCCTTAAAAATCTTATAAAAAAGACAACGAATACAATTTTTACACCATATTTTCAAACGAGAAAAAAATGCTCGCTTTTATGGAAATATAGCTAAAGTAGCATAGATTGAGGGAATGTCAATAACCTAAGTTTAAATAAACGTTTTTTGGAAATCTAAATAGTGTAAAATAAGTACAAAAATGATACTAAATTACATTTAGCAAATATAATAGTGTAAACATTTTTGACGTGTCGTAATGCATTACTTTATACACAGTTTTTTTTAAATAAGTTCATGTTCTATGGAACTGTATTGAGAAAATATAAACGAAGTAAATTTTCAGTAATTCTGGAAAATAGTAAAACTTAATAATACTAAAAACGTTCTTTTGCGTAAATCCATCATCTCATTACTAGATCAAAAAGGTATAGATCAAGGCGTAGAATGGATTCTTTTAATAATTATATTAGATATGTCTGCGATTTTTTTTGTATAAAGACTTACGATACTACTAACTTACTATTGCATGTGATGAAAACTGTACCGGTGGCTGTGCTGCCACAGGACCCGCAGGGTAATCTTTTGCTAATCCGGAAAGCGTGCTGCAAAGCTAACCATGGTGGTCCTTCGTGCCGTTTTTGCGAGAACAACATCGTGCTTGGATTACCGTACAGGAAAACAGAAAGGGGAATACATCTCTACAACGCTATTCATCAACCTCCCCGCCGAGTGGTTCGTCCTATGTCACCGCTTGGATCAACGCATACCTCCACCCCCGCCACACGGTACCGTTTTATTAATCTAAACTCTGGCATTGATTTAGGTCCTCTATAATTGCTTATATGCTATTATTTTCGTTTGTTCAGGGCGTCAAATTTGTTTCATGTCGTATTTTGTTACACATATTCTAACCAACTACATTGTACCAATAAACTTTTTAAATATAAATTATTTATTGGTTATGTATACAAGTGATAGAAAATATCAAGTTATTCTATCGAAAATTTTACGCACAATATTCAATGTATATTAGTAAAGTCGAAAAAATAAATAGTGCGACGTATGTTAAAAAAGTTTAGAAAGATACAACCAAACACTGAAAATGTATTTTATTAATATAAAAATATTATTCACGTTAAAAATAACAAGCAATATACATGTATCGTTGGGTAAAAAATTTAAGCAAGAGCAATTATTTTGTATAAATATTCTGTTATTTGGTACTTAAAAATCTGAAATCCAATTAACCGTCGGGACTGTACCTACTTGAATGACAATACTAAGAACTTATCAACGAAAAATCACGTGCGTATGAAAAGGGTGCTACGCACGGCGAAAAATAAAATACATATTTTTATTAGTAAATTTCGCTTTTTATGCGTAGCTACAAAGGTCCAGCTAAGAGTACTTGACGGTTATGGTCGTGTGCAGCATGTCTTTGATAAAATCGGGAGTCAGTGCTGCGTAGGGTGCCATCAGATGATTAAAGTCCCGTAGATTATTGAGCTTGAGAATAATATTGGGGGTTAGGGTTCACGTTGTATTCTTACAATTTTATCCCGTCCTACTAAGTTCTTCGGTGTTGAAAATACCATTGCGTGCTTTTGGAGTCAAATGAAACCTCTTTAGTTTCGAGTATTCACTCCGGTTTACTCAACAACTTTAGATCTCGTATCGTATTACATAAAGTAACAATTGCCTACGCACTTCTTCAAAATGTTTGAATTTCCGAATTCCCGAGAAAAATTTGATTTAACTATTACGACGATTGAATAATTTTATCTCAGCCACTAAATAAAATGATCAAATTGATTTGATAATTTTGTTAATTAACATTGAAATAAATGAAATGTTGCATTTCAAATTTTTTTACTATAGTTATGTTCATGGGTTAATTTTAGTTAAACCTAATATGTAAAAAGTATTTAGCAAATTTAGCTAAATATTTTATTTTTTTAATTTAATGTAAAATTTTAAAATGATGTATACCATTGCAACTTGATACATAAATAATATAATAACATATAAACTAGATGTTGGACTTAATTGGTTGAGAATATCAATTTTTTTTGGAGCTGAACAGTATGTATATTCCGGATTTGGGTTTTTGCCTTTTATACCATTAAGAATTGCATGATTTAAGTTGACAAGATCGTATCATTCGTATGCGTGTTTAGTTAGGTATCGTGTTTAAGATTTTTGTTTTTTTTTTTTGCAAAGAGTTTCGTGTCAGAGAATAGTGCGTATAAAAACGTAACTGCTAGCAGCATAATATTGCTTGGAAGCGATCGAATTCGCTAAAATATTCATAAGGTCTGATGGAAACGCCGTTAAGCCATTCTCTGGGGACGCTTGTTGTGCAAGGGAGTGGTACGTAAATATTTAATGTTTCTGTTAGGGGTTTATGAAATAACACATAGGTATAAAGAAAATCGTACAGTGATGTGACCAAAATAATATTTTTTGTACTTTTCGTCCACCTTATACATTTCAGAACCAATCAAATGTGATAATAATTTATACTTTATTTATATAATTAAGTTTAGTAAATGTATATGTGATTAAATTATAAGTAGATTAATTGGATTGTTATTTAAAAGTCAGGATAAAATTTATTAAAACTTTTACCATATATTTGGTTAGAACTAATTCAATCTAATATTAGGGTGATTAACTTAATTTGGAATTTGATACTATAATGAAAACACAACCATTATTATAACTGTTATTTTTATTAAATGACACGATCATTATAAATTTCAACAAGAGTAGATAACAACTAAATAATTATAATCATACAAAGATAGAAGTGTAGTAGTCTATGAATAATGTCAATAGTTTGCAATATTAATTGTATAAGTATTAATAAAAAAATTAACATAAAATTATTTAGAGTAATAAATAAATAAAAAATAATACTCTAATCATCTTAGATATATAGAAAATAGAATAGCTGTTCTACTCCATCGGTTTGATATTTAAATTGTGTTAACTTCAAATATTTATATAAATTGACATGATTTTTAGAACATTACATATAATAACTTTAATATAAACATTAATAGTTAATTGTGAGATAGATGAATTTCAGGTATAACTAATTAGCATGACAAAAAAAAAATAAAAACATAATACTGGTAACGATGTTTCAAGTATTAAATTCAAACAAACTTAATCATTTTAACTAAAATCAACAAAAACTTAATCTAGTTCAAGTTAGATGAAATGCAGTGTCTGCTTTTACAAAGTACTTTCGATAAAACTTCAACAATATCTATTACAATAATACTACAGATCTATTAAATAAACTAACATAAATAATAATCATACTATATAGCTGAATATGCTCTTAGTTAAAACAATTTTTGGATAATCTTAAAGTAATATAACACAGTTTTATCGATATTCAACGGGAACCAACATATTATAACGCTTTGCATTAATAATTCGCTTTTTGTTCGCCGTCCAAGTCAAATATTCTAATTTACTCATATTATTCTTATTATTAAATCGTCTTAATCTAAAGATCTTAGCACAATAATAATTTCGAACAATGATATGTATCGAATTTCGTTAATGATATGTATGAACTTGGTTGTTTACACGAATTCATGTAAAGTACAATAATAATTTATTTTAATATAAAAAGAACATCATAAAAATTGTTTTAAAATAGATATATTTATGCATGATCATAAATATGTATTGCTAATTTATTTACATCTTAAAAAATATTGATATGTTGATGATATGGTTTGGTTACCACTTAAGATATAATCTTAAGGTTGAGTCATATTCTAATATTACTAGCTTTCCTTAAAATTAAACTAACTCCTATTTTAATATTAATTTTAAGAATTATTTTACATGAAGATATTATTTAAAGTATCTATTTATGATATTCTAATTATTCATTAATGTAGAACCAAGCTAATGATAATGACATAAGCTCAAACTTTAACAAATATATGCATACACGTAATGATATTTCAAAAAATTCAATGTTCAAGGTTCAAATATATTAGTACATAAACGTATTAAATTTATATCAGTATAACTTAAAGTCTCATAAAATTTCATATAAATTAGATTATAATAATAAATATTATTATCACGGTATTTTATATAATATGTAAATTTTAATTTTAAATAATTATTAAATTGTTTTCGTAAAAATTATTTTATAGTTTTATTTTAGTGATATTTGTATTTTCTGAAGGAAAATTACTAGAAGAATATTGTCGACTCCATGGCTAAATATCGTAACTCGACATTTTGAAGTTTTTTTTCAAAAAACATATACTTACAAAATGGACATATATTTTAAGCACTTTTGGAACAAAAAAATCATTTTTACTTGGGAAAATGGAGTTTGAAAATTGAATTTTCATTGTTCGTTATGCAAAAAGAATATTCATTTTAAATAATTTCGAAAAAATTGAGAAACATAGTTCTGGATGATTAAGTCTAATCTAAAAACCATGTATTGTTTGATATATATTTTACATTTAATTTTATTAAGAAGTATTCTCGTGATTAGAATTGTAGCTCTTATAGTTTAAGGGATATTAAGTAACATATGTATGAAGAGTCAAACTAAAAATAATTTTTTCTAACTGATAGTAAAGATTTTAAAGAAATTCTATAGATAAACATGTTTATGAAAAAATGTACTTTTTTACTAAGGCGATTAATGAAAATGATAACTTTGAGCTTGATTTTTCAAAATTAGTAATGTCATCTACACCCTTAGCACTTTAAGAACCTCAATTACAATTGATTACTTTTTTATCAAATATCATTAAAGCTAACTACTGTATAATAGTTTGAATCATATACACAATTAACAAAAAAAATATGAAATAGCATAGTATTGCTTAGTCTACACTTAACTTGGCTTAAGTCTTTGTTGTCCAGCAACTTTGTTTGAAATAGAAATTTAAAGCACAAAATTTAAAGCATATCACTTTGATGGTTTAAAGTAAAACCTTGTTAAAAGTATAGTTATTTTTATTTGATAAATAACAGTAGTTATGCATCATTTACCAGTTTAACGCTGTTGTCTGAATGGATTTTTGTCCTGCGTTGGTTGTGAAGGTCTTCTAAAAGGATTAGTATCTAGAGTTTGGTGGAATGAAGCGTTTTCATTTTCAATAGCTACATGACCATCAATATCAGTTTCCCGTTGTCCTCTAACGCTTGAGTATTCGCTATTCATTGACAATGGTTGTTCTTGCATGGCATAAGTTTGATATTCTTTATCTGGTGGGTCAGCCATTAAAATATTAGCTTCATTTTGGAACGGTTTAAAGTCATATATATTTCTCAGTCTCATTAAGGCAGGAGCATAGGCTAAATTTGAAACAGCAATTATGACATTTAGCCACGTAAAACCTATCATTTCTACTACTTCACCAGCAACGATAGGTCCAATAGCATACGCTAATGAATATGAAATATCTGCTATGGCATAAATACTTCCGTAAACGGAAACATAACGTACATCCACTATATACCCTAGTGTAGGTAAAATAGCTGTGTCTACTAAAGCTATTCCGAAACATATAACACATATGGGAATCATAAGAACTTTATAAGAATTAGAGAAAGGAATTATTAAACAACTTAATCCTTCCAATGATAAACCGACGGCTACCATGAGCCATTGATAATTTGGATATACTTTAGACAGTTTTACAGTCAAAATGACACCAAAAACATGAGGGAAAAATGCTGGTAACCATATCATTCCCATTTTCCAGTTATCATGAGTAATATGATCTTCCATCCATCGGGATATTGTTGGTTCAAGAAAAGCAAGTGCTACGTTTGACATCATTAACGCACCTGAACATACAGCTATGTATGGATCCATAAAAAGTTTCCAAATAGGAATGGTTGGTACCTTTTTTAAATGTTTTTGCTCTTTTAATTGCTGTTTTATTGGTTTCATTACAAGTAGTAACATTAATCCATCTACCAAACAAACAAACGCTAGAATGAGGAAAGGTATTTCTTTACCTGCAAATTGGTATAGAGCTCCTCCAAAAGGCGGAGCTACTAAACAACCGAAACTAATGAAGGCTAATGCAATACCTAAAGCTTGAGCTCTCTCATTTTCTTCAGTAAATCTATCTGCAATCATTGCTAAGCCTGATGTATCAGCAAATGCTGAACCTACACCTTGAAGACTCCTAGCAATGAAAAGAACAGAATAACTTCTTCCACATGCAAAAAGCGAGGTAGATAAAAACATAATGGACAAACCAATCATCATTGGTATATCATAGCCTATACGATCAATAAGAGCACCAGAAAATGGATTTACCATAAGTTGTACAATAGCTTTAGACGCAAATAATACTCCTGTAGCAGAATCTTGTCCATGATGATCAATTGTTATTGGATCTTCTGTGAAATTTACGCCTATTGGAATATCTCCCCAAGCACCTACGTACCTTAGATAGTCAGGTATAATAGGTACAATAACCATGTACAGCATGTTGTCCAACAAAAGTGCTATGGAAACTATTACTAGAATCAACCTCCTTTGAATAACTGGTTCTTGTATTTTTTCCCATAGTATTTCTTTAAGTTCATTGACTTCAAGATTGATAAGAGGTACTTGGAACGCACCAATAGCGTCCCAACACCGTTTTAACGGATTTCCAGATGATTCCATGTTGAATTTATATTGAATTCACATTATACGTTCATCTACCCCGTTGTAATTCCACCAGAACTCACCATAATTGATCCCAACCTTTAACAAAAAGATACAAATAAACGTTAAAAATGTTTGTAAATATTATTAAGAAATTAGAAAAAATAATGAGTGTATCTCATTGCAAAGGTATGAAATCCATTATGGGGAGTTCTAAAAACACATTTATATTACTTGGTTTCATTTATAACTTGAACCTTTGCTGTGAGAAAAATATCAATAAAAAATACTCATTAAATATATTTAAATAAAAATATTCATCTGTTTGAAAATATAAACTATGCCTATCTGTACGAAATTAATCAAATTTATTATTAAGAACCGAGCGCTACAAAATTGCATTTACTATATTATTAAAATTTCAATTGAATAAAAATGATTTTTCTCTGTTAAATTATAACAGTGCAAAAGACACGATAATTACAGACGCCGTAGAGTTTCAAGGGTTCACGTTAGTTTAGAGTTACAAAACAGTCGAAAAAGGGTCTGTCGTTTGCACATTTAGCCTTCTAGCAATACTAAAGTCTTTTGTACATAATGTCTTTGAAAAATAAATTGTTCGATCTTTAAAAATACAAAATATTAGTATTACTATTAGTTATAGGAATACTAAATTTCATCTTTATAAAATTCTATTCTTATGAAAAATAATACTTGTTATTTATTTTATCATCGCTATGATTAAAATCTATAATTTGAGATCTTTTACCTTAGTAATCACAACTAAAAATGATGAAACATTCATTGATTTACACATGTGATATAAACCATTGACATGAATTTTATCATTTTTCTTTATTATATATTATAATATTTCATTTAAAAAATAATATTTATTTTAAAATTAATTAATTTATTTTTGATTTTTCCATAGAATTATAAAAAATGTTTTTGTGTTTATTTAAGTCCTAAGCAAACATTTTGAACAGTTTACAGTGATATTCAGCGACCCTATCTTTTTAATTTTAATGATGCCATTTACTAATTAACTGGTCAAAGTACACAAGAATAAGGGAGCCACCCTTTAGAATGTTCTTTAGGGTTCGGGTGACGATAATCTATGTATATCGATGTAGATTTTTTAGCTTAAATAATTTTATGTTACATCATTGTCATTGAGAGAGGACTAAAATGTCAAAATGAAACACCAGTATAAATATTTTTAATAGAGTATTACAAATATCTCTGTAACAAAAATATTAATTTATTTTACGATATTAAAATAATGACAAATCAAGTTAAAACTATTAAAATTACTAAATAACAAATAATTTTATAGAATTATCGATAATTTTTATAAAGTTTTATGTTTTCAAATAGTTCATATATATAATAAATTTTCAATAAAAAAAATTGAAGTCTTTTATGTAAATGTGGGCTATATTTTGTTTTAAGCTCATTGTCATTTTTAAGCTTAAAAATAATACATATGTTTTTCTGATACTTTTATCATAGTTTTTTTGCAAGATAAAATATTTGTTTGTACTAGAGCAACAATTATAATAAACGCATAATTATTTTTAAAATACTTAGTGTTCAGCCTAATAATATAAACATTTCAAATTATTTATAACATATAAAAAAACGTTAAAATTGTTCAAATCGTTATTAAGTTAAAATATTAACTATTTTATAAATACTCATAAAATTAAATTAGATCGTAATAAAAACTAATTATAATTGTTAAATGTTTCAAATTCTAATTTAAACATAAAAAAAGAATTATGTATTAAAAAAAAATGTTTCTGTTTACAATTTATGTAAAATATTGAATACCTTGAACATTTTTTATTTCAACTTGAAATAAAACAAGAAAAATAATATTATAATGTAATATATTTTGAAATTTAAAAAATTCTTTACTTACTATAATTTTTTTTGGAGTTAAGTTTGAGAATGTTTTGCTTTAAAAAAGAAATATTACATAAATAATCATTCCTATTACTCAGAACATATAGCCAAAATACTGAAACAGTTTAACTTTTAAAATCAAATAAAATTTATGAAAGAAGACATTTTACTGATCGTTCATATTTGAAAAATGGATATAAAAAGATCATTTGAGATTAAAAATATAATTCCATTAAAACGGTGCATTGAATTATATAATTTACTTTTATCTTCAAAAACAGGAATGGAATTCGATTTTAGAATTAAATATAGAAATAATGCATTATGTTCATGCGTACAATATAATTCAATTTTATTTAATTCAGGCTTCTTTTGAAAATAAAATAATTTATATATTTTCAAGTAGTCCATTATAATGTGAGACAAAAAAATATTTACTTTATTTCTAACTTGTTTATTTATTTTTTTAATTAAATAAACTTTGAACATATTATTACATCATCTGATTTTAAACAAATTAGTTATAGAGTACTAATTTACCCAAAATTATCTATTGAAAACGAAAATAAAATGTATTAAGTATTGCAATACCTGTATGATAATAAGCTTTACAACAAATCAAAGGTCTTCTATAAATAAATCACATTATTCATTTTTAGGACTTTTTACATATTTACTTATGTTATCAAACGTATAATATATTTTTTGGTCTAAGATACAAACTTTTTCTGTATTAAATATAACTTTTTTTACAAAAAAATTAAGTATTTCACTTCATAATTACAGAAACACTTAGTATACATCTTAGTATTAAAAAAAACAAGAATTCATTGTTGTTTTTTTTCAGAAATTATGAATTTATGGAGTATACAAGTCTTCCAACTAAAAAAATTCTACAATCTTTTTCATTCATTTGTCTGGAATCATCAAAAGATATCCCATAGCACATATTTTAATTTGCAGTAAAATAATTGAAGGGATTGTTGCAACAACCAAATAAGTCCAATCTTTTTAATTTTTCAAGAGAAGCAATTTTATTCTAATTTTTTTTAAAATTAAATATCTCTATACTTTGAATACGAATACAAAACTTCTTTTTGTTCTGAATTACTCAAAAAAATTACACTTATTCAAAATTAACAAAAAGATGGACTTTTTTGATTTTTGCATCAAGTCCTTTAATTATAATTTACACAAAAAGCCATTTAAGGTAACTTATTTATGAATTTTTCAATCGTTTGTTTAGGTAATGGCGTCATACGTTTTGTTTAGACAACTATAAGAATGGCGAGACGCCCGTAAAACAAACCGTAGCTAATCAACCCTCTTTTCACGTTATAATAATAACAATAATAAAAATATAATGAAAAAAGAAGAAAAGGGGGTAGGAGTTCACTACCCTAGTCGCATGTTCAATTTCTCTTGAATATGTCGTGACAGAATATACTTAAACTATCAGCCCATCTTTCCACCTCATTATTCCCATCCCCTCGTTTAAAAGTGTGGACGCATAAGGATTTTACGATCGCGTCTATTAAAACATCATGGTGCAAAACTTATACTCCTTACCATTAGACCATTATATATTACTATATAAAGATAAATTCTTATAAAGTCTATAAAACGAGATGCATTTTTTTCATAGAATGTGAGTTAAAATAATACTAGTTAAGTTATACACGTGAATCTTACGGAAAAGTACACAAAAAATAAACAAAAAGTACTCAATAAATTAATGTTTTCTTAAACACGAAAAGTTTTTCGAAAGGACTATTATTTTAAAATCTATATACTCATTTTTTAACATAAAATATAAGTATATAAATATAATTTATTTACATATAAATTATGCAATTAAAATTAAAGAAATCACAAAAAAAAAGGAAAAAAAGCAGACCAAAATTTGTATAAATAGTACCAGGTTGCTTTATGTTAACAATTAGTAATAATTAACTGAGTTGTTTAGTTACAAAAGGACGTATGTTCATATTATTTATATGTATGTTATTTACTAGTCAACTAATTCTTCCAAATAAAAAAAAATTAAAAAAAAATAGGTTTTTGGACATACGTCTTTTTGCAATTGGACGAATCATTTATACTAGTTATCTTTAGTAATTACATTTTTGTTCTCTAAGTAAATTATAATTTTTTGATAGGAATAAATTTTTTTCTAATTTTTTTATAAAAACTAGAAAAAAATTATTGCTGAATATGTATGATAACAATAGAATGTATGCATAATGCAGGTTTAAAATAAAGGAATATGAAGTTACTGACTAAATTATGTTTGACAATAAAACGGGTGAAAACAAAAAACAAGAATCGACACAAAGAAACATTTTCCCAAAACCCCGAGATGCTTACAGTTTCCGGAGAATCTAAAAAAGAAAATTATCGTTAAAGGCAACAAAGGGTGAGTAGCAAGGAACAGGAAGTAATTGAGTTTGCTAGTGCGGGTAGAAGACAAGGAAAATACCCAAGAGAAATACCCTCCATGCCACAATTGTCCTTCATGCTTCAGTCAAATGCAAACGTAGTCTCGGATACTTTCCATTTCCACTCTTGTACTAAGGCTACAATTACCATCTTATCTCAGACTGTCCCTTCACTTTGTCAAATCAAAAATTAAGTTAATATCAAAACCATCAAAAGAAAGATGTAATGACAGCAAATCGTACCTACATAAAAACACGACCATTTATAGCCTTTTGTTAGAGTAATTATATAAAAACTTTGTTTTAGTGAAAAATTTTAATTAAATTGATCCGTAACTTTAAAATCGAACTTTCAAAAAATTAAATTTGAAAGCTAAACTATGCTTATTTTTCTATTATTAAAATTTAAAAAACATTAAAAATACTGCTTTAAAAACTTTTTTTTTTTTTAATTAAACTGTATATTGTAACTTATAAATAGGGTTCGGAATAATATGAATTTGTAAATTTGTTTGAGCCACTTTTGAGAGTTCCAAGTTTAAGTAACTTTGTCGTAACGTATAATTTTTCGAAATTTTTCGTTTTAGGGAGAGTCACACCCCCTAAATCTCTCCCAAAACTATATTCTCGGTAACAACACATTATTAAGTTTTCAAGTCAATTAATAAAGTTTGTACTTGTTGATGGTGTGTTCGAAATAATTAAACAAAATTTATAAACGCATACAATTCCGGATACTACCTATAAAAATACTTCATTCCTTTCAGGTTACGGTGTAAGTCTATGGGTTCTTTTTTAAAAAAAAGTTTTCTCTAATTTAATCTTAATGTGGCTTATTTTTTGCTGAATTAGATTTCAGAGCTTTAATCATATACTCGAGTACAATGATATTATATTGTTATGTCAATAAATTGTAATTATTCTAATACAATTACTTTTTTGTGAAAAATCTATGTACAAAAATTAAATTTTATTTTTAAAAATAAATAGCCTTTGGGTTAGTCGATGTTTATAAGGATTTCAAAGAAATTACAATTCTGCCAGTCAATTTATGAGGTACTTATTTACAAATGACAAAATAAAATCCATTGGATTTCTATCAAGTTCTTAATACTAAGAAAACTTTCCACGTTGCAGAAGGACATCATATGATTTTATTTACCGATCAAGTAAATCCATTTGAAATAAAAGTTTAAACCTTACCTAGTACTGAACTAGCTGCTGGGCCTGCAGATGTTTGCCAAAAGCCCCTAATGGTGGTGGCTATCTTCGAGGGAGACACCGTGACGGAAGCTAAGGCCTCGTTCAGCCTTCCCACGCCGCCTTTAGTACCACGATCTTCTTCAGTAGCCGGTCCGACGTTGTCGGCCGTCCCGTTAAACGCGTCCGTATCCACCTTGACCGGACACAGACTTTGAAGCGCGATTTTTTGTTTCCACACCGACCTTTTTAGTGCAATGGTAACATAAGCTAAACGGCGTATTCTTTTGTCTTATGGTGGTTATTTGGCTATTCAGTAAACTTGATAATAATAAAATTTCTATTTTTAAATTTCTACTTAGTGGTTTTAAGTGCGGCGAGGGAAGGTAATTAGGAGTGGCGGGGGGAGACGACAGCGACGGCGACGGTTGCTGGTGATGTCGATCGCGGCGATCGAGCTCGGGCGCGTGACGGACGCTCAGTGCGGACGATCGGGCCCTTTGGATGCCGGCGGCGCCGAATCCGCTCGTAGGCGTGTCTGGGATCTGAGCGCTCCGCCCGTGGCCAGGGGGTGCCGCCTTGAAATTTAGGTCGTCCGGGGCTGACGGCGGCCGATCGGGGTTGAGTTGCGCATCTGGGTCACATCGACTCCAAGTGGTAGTACTACCGAGTTTTCAGGATTTCCTTCACCCATGCACCAACGAGGCCTTATAAATTATGAAGAGATTAACTATTTTTTAAATAAATAGACTATCAAAAATAGAAACTTTATCGGTATAGTAATTATTATTTTACCATCAAATTACATACAATCAACTAAATTAATTACAAAATAAAACTAATATTGAAGTCTTGATTTTTTTTTGTTACATATATGTATTGATTTATTAATTATTAAGTAATTATTCGTTTCCTGCCCTATACCGTACAAGGGTGTCAACTTTATTTATTTAAATGACAATATAAATATTTAACCAGCTTATAAAATAGAAAATTATCTAATTGTATAATAAAATGATTGATCGATAACAATTTTTGGATAAGTACATCGGAAGTTATAATCATTTTAAAAACTAGTCAACACACGGATATGTCTATTTTTATCATTTTATCCACTGTACTTTTTCCTTCTAGGTATAAAAATGTACATTACTAGATAATTTAAATTAAATTTGAATATTTCTGACCAATAGTTCGAATAATTATTAAATATAAAAAAGTTCAAAGTTACTACTCGATATTTACCTCCGTTAATTCTAAGTTGAAACCAAAAAACTATAAATCTGTCTTTGAAAATTTTAAAAATGATTTTTTTTTTAGATATTTTTATTCAAAAAAATATAAGCATTTCTTTTTTTTTTTTAATGTTTCTAACTAAAATTCATAAAAATTAGTCTTTGTTTTTGAGAGTTCTATTACTTTTATGGGCAATCTATTAAATCTTAGTATATATAATTATATATATCGTATAATATATCTAGTAACTATAATTACGCAACTAATTATATATTTATTTTTACTATATAAAAAACTAATTTTACTTGTCACATACAAATATATGTATGGCATATGAACGCCATACAATTTGTTTGAAATCATCAATATCATAGAAAAACAATCGTTGACCATTGTTAGTATTTACAACAATACATTTACAAATGGATAAATAAAATAGTAAACAACAGTTTATTTTTATAACTCAATAAATGTAATTTTTCTTTGAAAATACATATAGAAACATCAAAACATAGTCAATGAATAAACAAAGTTTTGATATCAATTTAATATTGATATTGAATTAAACAGAATTATTAACAAGTCTTAATAAAATAAACTCTATTAGTCGATAATAATAAAAGTATGGAAATTTTTTGCAGTATTAATCATGTCATTGAGACACGCATTTTTTTCGAATTTAAAAGATTAGGTTTAATGTGCAATTTACCTACTTTTAATTTATTTTCTAACTGCGTACCACATAAGGGACATTTATTATTGATAAACTTAATAATTTACTCTCTAATCTACATAAAAAAATTATCTTACATAGAAGTTTTTTTGAAGTCTCTTATAGAAAGAATATAGAAAAAAAATGTATAAGAGTAAGATATTCTTTGAATGGAAATTTTCAGATTTAATTAATAGTTTATTACTTAGATCTTATGTAAGATTGTAAATTATATAACTTGATATACTAAAAATTATATATATATATATATATTAATATACTTATTAATAACAACAAATTTTTATATAAAAAAAAAAAAAACAATAATAATTATTACTGAATTCAAGCTTTATTTAAAATAAATTTGCTCAATACTTGTCATTTATGGACAAATCATCGTAGAAGTTAAGACTAAAGGTACTATTTTTGTGTATTTTGTGTAAATTCGCAAAATATAAAAATGATATAAAGTGATAGATTTATTGTTGACCACTAAATTTCTTCTAAAATAACAATTATCTTTAGAATTTCTTAAAATTTTATTTAGTATTATTTATATTATGATTTATATTTAATAAAACGCTTTTTAATTGCATTTCTTATTCAATTATTGCTAATACAGAATAAAAGGGTTCAACTAAGGAAATAACTGGTTGTAAACAACTGTAAAACCAGCATTTTAGAAGTTATTTTAATTTTAAAACATTTTAGAGTAATGATGTATGAGTTATATTAATTCTACCATTAAGCATTTTTCTATCGCACTATTCCTCTCAATCAAGTATTAATATAATCATACATTTTTAAATACTGATCCAAAGTTGTTATCGATCATTAATTTCCTTATTAAACTACTAATAAATTGAAAAGTAAATACAACTGAGCAAAACAGTCAATACTTCTTTCTAACTATTATTATTTTATATGATATTCAGTGGTAAATGATAAATAAATCACCTTGTATATAAATGAATTATAAATACATTTAAAGGAGTATTATTACTAATTATAATCTACCTAATATTATATCTATATCATAGGTCTACCAAAGAATTGTAAACCAAGCCACCTTTTCAAAAAAATCTTTATTCATGCACATTTACAATAAAAAGTTTTATGATCACTGTTAATTAACAATTTATACTGGTCCCAAATGTATTAAATATTTAAATGTTACTATTACAACTATCAAATTGTTGAGTAATTAAAACTTTAAAAGTAATACAATTGGGATACTTCAAAATGGAGTTCCGGCATAATAGAATCAATATAAAATGAAATTTCAATAGCATATAATGCTTCTATATAATTGTTTATAAAAAAAGAGACTTCAAAAAAATTGAAAAATATGTATAGAAATTTAAAAAATTTTAATTTTACTGTCCATTATAAGACCTTTAATTTTAAAAATCGTAGACGTTCCAGAATATATGTTAATATATGTTTGGGTTAACATTTAAAAATTTTCAGGATATGTACAGTAAATTGTTTATTTTGATAGAACCAATAAATTCTCAATTGCTCATTTAAGTTAAAAGTTAACTGTTTTATCGTTAAGTTAGAAAAAAACACGTTTTATTATACAAGGTAATATTTAAAAGGTATTTTTTTTGTTAACTAGAATTCAAAATTAACCAACTAAATAATTTTTAAACTTAGCAATTTTGTTGTTTTTTTTTTAAGGGTAGGGTATGACATGAAAAATCACGTCTTATTATTTACACGATTTTTAGGAAATCCTTCAGATACTATTTAATATTTCTTAAGCTAAAATTTGTATAGATGAAATTTCTCAATTAGAAGATTCATATTATAAAAAATCAATTGATTTAAATTCTGCTTTGGGTAAAAACTATAATGCATACATTTCCATTAGACTTGGAAAATTATTTACAATTTTGTTATCATAATGTAATGATAAAATAATAGATCAATTTTATGCATAGAGTTAGATATTATGTCATTTTATCAATTGTATAAAATGTCGATATTTTATTCGACTTTTACACATCAATTTTTTCCTTACTTCATTTAATAATCTAAATAGTTTAAAATCTTCTAAATATTTATAAAATAAAGATTTAAAAAAAATATATAATTTTCTAATGATTTGTTATCAGCAGCAGTCAATAAGAAATTCTACTTATTTATTCAACATGAACATTTTAACATTTTCTTTATATCATAAATCGTGTTACTAAATTAAAATTGAATTAAATATTTTTTGTCAATTTTTTCAATAGTTTGATGATTTCCGTTTTGATAAATCTTCAAAAAGACATAGTTTTATGCTATTCAAATGAGAGATAATTTAGAGAATGATCGTAAAATAATCAATTTTAAAATTTATTTAACAACTGAATATTAAATATTTTATTATTAAATTGATGCATACTATGCATAAATTTAACTTAAATTTAAAAAAGTATTATTATCTAATGTAGACCATAATTATACAGAATGATCAGTTTATCATAAACAACAAGATATAAATACAATATTGAAAAAAAAATTAATTTTTTAGTTACATTTATCTTTTGATTTATTAGTTATAAATTATATTTTAGTATCAATCCTAATAACGTAAAGAGATGTTAACATAACTTTTTTAAATGGTAACGTACATGTTCAATTAACTTATATAATAAAAAATGATCCAATTAAAAAAATGACTGGTCGATAATAACTTTTGGATCAGTACTTTGGATATTATTTTCAATTTTATACCTAGGCTTCCTAGTACTTCTTAGTCCTAAAAGTCTAGTGATGAAAGTAGTAGCAACCACTCCTCATCTCCAGTCTTTACTTTAAATTATTAATAACTTCCGAGATACTGATCTAAAAGTTGTTATTGACAAGTCATTTCCTTAATTATATAATGTTTGTGTTTAGCGTTGATAATGTTTCCGAAATACGTATCTGTGACTTTTCAGTAATTTTTTGTGGCTTATGAGTTTAATATTTTTTAGTTTTTAAATTAATAATATTTTGAATATAGTTAAAATTTTATTTAATTAATATATGTTACCATTAAAAAAAAATAAAGTTAACACCCCATTTTAGTTATAAGAGATAATTCTAAAAATTACTTATTAGCTGGTAAAATCAAGAATTATGTGTAGGTAAAAAAAAAATTTTTTCCAGTATCGTATTTATTTTGGGAGTAATCGAGTGATAAACCGATTAGCCTGTAAATTGAATTTTACTAGAAAAAAATATAATTTCTCTTTAATCAAAATATTATTTGAATACACCTAAATTTCCAATGGTTTAAGCTTTTTAATTATAATAATGATAATGTAAGCATAACTTAAGGGAGTTAACTAAGTCATAGGAAACAACTATTTGAAAATAAACTTTATACAAAAAATGTACATTTTTTTTACTTAGATGTTCGTTTTTACGTACATTTTTTTAATGTAAAACATACATAACAGTAAAAAATATTTAATATAATTCATTATAATTATAATTTTGACAGATTATAATATTAGATTTTTTTGTTATATATATATTTTTTTAATTATTTTCAAGAATAGTTACATGAAAATT